CTCCTTCCTTCTGGCTACGTTTGTTTCCAATGGTGTCTATGGTGTCTATTCACTAAGCTGCCGTAAGCTGCTCAGCATGTTCGGCCGACCCGAAGTGCAGAAGGAGTTCGACCCAGCCGATCCAACATCTGGATTGGCTAAGCCGAACCTCCGCCAGGCTACTCGCTGCTGTTGGGTCTATTCTTATAGATGCCGAACAGCAGTGAGTAAATAGCCGAATGCCGCTGTGGGACCGAGCAGAACAGAAAAATAGTTTAAAAAGTACAAAAAAATAAACGATTGTGCGGAGCTAGCAGTGACAGCTAGCTCCACCCAACTGTTTTCTATTTGCCGGGTGGTTCTGCTGCCATCAAAAAATAAATAAACAAATTTTCGCCATAGGAATGCATTGCTAGAATCCTATTGGCTATTTCAATTTGCAATAGCCAATAGCAAACTAGCTATTGCAACCGCCCTCTGCTGCTGTCAATCACTAGAGGGGACCTGATGGAGAACTGCAGGTCCCCTCTGCTGATTGACAGCCGCAGTGGGCGGGTGCAATAGCCAGTTTGCTATTGGCTATTGCAAATTGAAATAGGCAATAGGAATCTAGCAATGCATTCCTATAGTGAAACATTTTTTTTTATTATTCTAACGGCAGCCAACGGCTCCATGTCAGAATAAAAAAAGAAAAAGCAGGGAAAGTTTTACTCTGCTCGATCGAAGTGGGAGTGGGAGTGGAAGTGGGAGACTCCCGGAGCGCCCGGGAGAGTTGGGCTGTCTGGAGATCAGTGTCCCTAGTTAGCTGGTAACCAGGGACGCTGATCTCTCTGCAATTGGCCGGAGCCAGCCGTCAGATGACGGCTGGCTCCGCCCAGCTGTCAGAAGCAGGCTGTTGGCCGGCCATTCAGCCAGCTTCGGCCTTTAGCGCGGCTCAGTCGAGCCGAGGCATATGCCTTCGGCTAGATCCTTCGGCTGCTTCGTGAATAGACCTCATAGGGTTGGCAGGATGGACCATTAAGCACAGAACAGAAGATTGACACTCCTGGGAGCGTATGAAGAATCTTCAGGCGGCAATTTCTCTTCATTACAGCAGAGTTTGGAGGCTCAGGGACGTGGTAGAGGTAAGTGTTTACTTCTTGCCATCGATCACTTTTATTCACAGTCTGATTTTAGCAGCAGAGGGACTATATTCATAACAATATTTATTCTCTCTGTTGTGTTGGGGGGGGGGGGGGGTTTTTAT